ATTACCGACTAAATCAATCCGTCGGTAAATGGTTGGTGAAACACTCGTTGCTAAATTTAGAGATTGATATGTTGCGCCGTCGGTAATTTAACGACGAGAAAAAAAAATCTGTTGGTGTTCAGCAATAGGAATATTCTGTCGCTAATTACTGACGTAACAAAGTTGTTGGTGTTCAGCAATGGATGTTTTGCCGTCGCTAGTTATTGACAAACATATTTGTTGTTAGGGCTCAAGCTGGTATTTTTCATTGCTTGCACTTTTGTTCATTGATATCTCTATTGCACGTCATTTAGCTGCTAATACAATGCGTGCATAATGGTCGACTGGTCATTTTGCCTCTTCTAATTTTAGTACCTAAACATGAAACCTTCACAATTTGATACACTCACCCGACAAATAGCGGCTATCCAAATCTATATGACTACTACTCTTGAAGAGAGTAAGGCCCTCTCTGCTAATTTGAACAATTTTAAGGAAATCTCTCATTCGATCTACGTTGGTAATTCTAAAGTATCTCATAATAAACATTATCGTCATCGACGAGGAAATTGAAAATATTTTAGATACAATCGTCGTGATAGGGATCGAGTTCGTGGGCGAGAACGAGCCTATGACCGTCACGGTCTTCATTCTCTTCCTCATCATAAGGAGAGTTTTTTTAGAAACATTAAATGAGACACTCCTACTTTTGATGGTTGCTTAGATTTTGAAGTTTTTACTCAATGGACTACCCTTAAACAAGAGAATCAGTTAGTGATTGAGTATATTGCTCAATTTGAGGAATTTCAAAGGAAATATCATTTCATTGAGGATGAAGCTTTGACTTTGAGTAGGTTTATACAAGGTCTAAGAGATGAATTTAGGCACGAGCTTTCCTTCGAGGCATCACTACTCTTGATCACACTAACTCTTTAGCCCGAGATTATGAGTTATTTATTAGTAATCCATATGAAAACCGCAATCACCGTTGTCCCCCAATCTCGTCATCGCTACCTCCTCTTAAGTCTATCAAAAGACCTTTCCCGTCTAATGTTCATCCTGTGTTGGAAAATAAGGGTAGAATTTTTGAAATCACAAAGGCTTTTTCACACTTGTAGTGCTTCAGCTGTAAGGACTTTGGCCACATCTCTTTTGAATGTCCTAGCAGAGCCTTGGTCATTTAAAAATTAAAGAATATAATAGATGAGCAATTAAAAGATCAAATCTATGAACTTAAACTTAAAGAATTTAATGACTTAGACAGTCAAATGTTGTGTGTCATACTCTTATCCAACCTAAAGGTACTCATGATTTGGGTAATCATGCCATTTTCAAGGACAATCTTGGGAATTGGGATTTGATCCTCCCAACAGTGTAAATTACAATCTTGGGAATTGGGATTTTATGGAAGATTGCGTGGTTGAAAATAGAAGAAAAAATAAAATGTAATTTAATGAGATTTAAACATGGGCTAATTTATGCTTAAATAAAGTTATGGGTACAGAAAAATTTTGACAAGAAATGCTCAGTTCACAGTCACATTCACACTCACTTTAACATTCTTCTATCTAACACATAATTCAAGAAGGGAACCACGTGTAATAATTGCAATAGTAAAATATTATTTGGAACATGTCACAGTCGGGTAATGTCATACACAAATTTATAGACAACGATATAGATTTACCAAATTTGTTTCCATACTGACACTTACTGAATCTGATGAATGGTTTAAATACAAAGCAGGAGGACAGAAGAAAAAACAATAACTGCTAGTGAATTTGTTCTGTGACATTAATTTAAGATATGACAAGAAAATATACGTCAATAATTAAAAAAGGACTAATACAATGGGATTCTTTGCATTAATTAGTATCATATTATTGTTTATGAGCGATTTATCGTTAAGGAGGGGAATATTTGTGTGGATTTTGATGATGATTACTTAGATTGCAATTACATCAGTTGCATTAACTTATCTTTAGTCAATATTTGTATTTTACATAAAAGAGAAGAAACAATCAATTGCTCTTGTGGTTGCACTACAAAAAAGTGCGACTTCAGCAACGAAAAAATCCATTGCTAATGGCTTGATTTTCGTAGCTAACAGAGCATTACCGACTAAATCAATCCGTCGGTAAATGGTTGGTGAAACACTCGTTGCTAAATTTAGAGATTGATATGTTGCGCCGTCGGTAATTTAACGACGAGAAAAAAAAATCTGTTGGTGTTCAGCAATAGGAATATTCTGTCGCTAATTACTGACGTAACAAAGTTGTTGGTGTTCAGCAATGGATGTTTTGCCGTCGCTAGTTATTGACAAACATATTTGTTGTTATTCCGTTTGTATTACCAACGTTTTTCTAAACAATTTTAGAAACAGAATTTACGAACGATTAATTTGTCCTTAAATAGATATTAATCTTCTGTTTTTGTTGGTGTCGCTAAGTGCCAACAATTTTCCTACAAAATTGTTCTTTTCTAATAGTAACGTATATTTCGTTGCTACATTTTTTCCTAAATTTTTATTCAAATTTAGAAAATAAATAAATTTGTTGAAAATTTGGATTATAATTTTAAAAGAACTAAATATTTTTTTATCTAACAAGTTACAATGAACTTTTTTGATGGCACTAAGCCCCAATTTGGTTCCAATTTTTTGAAAATGAAAATGGGTGGAATAGTGTTTTTTTTTTAAATGAGTGCTTAAAAAAGAATGAAAGTTTTTCGACTTACGTGTAATATTATTTTATGAAAAATTGTGTGATTGAAAATAGAAGAAAAAAAATAAAATGTAACTTAATGAGATTCAAACATGGGCTAATTCATGCTTAAATAAAACTATGGGTATAGGAAAAAATTTGTAAGGAAATACTTAGTTTACAGTCGCATTCACTTTAACATTCTCCTATCTAACACACAATTCAAGATGGGAACCACGTGTAATAAATACAATAGTTAAATATCATTCGGAACATGTCACAATCAGGTAATGTCATACACAAATTTATGGACTACAATATACATTTAAGAAATTTGTTTCCATACTGACATTTATCGAAAATTAGGTCATAATTAAAATTTATTAATAAAAAATATACAATTAAAAATATTTTATTAATTAAATATATTAAGATCACAATACTATATAATTTATGGTACAATTACTTACTAGTCACAATGAGAAATGTCATAGTCACAAATTACTAATTTCACAAGACCACTTATTTATCGATCACAAATGATCAAATTAATTGTCCACACATTATTTGTTGATCACAAAATCACAAATTTTATAAGTCACAATTTATTTATCTGTCAAATTATCAAATCAATAGGTCATCTATTGTTTCTTGACTTCAAATCACCAAATTTATAAGTCATAGCATATTTTATGATCACAAAATATCAAATTAATTGATTACAACTTATTTATCAGAAATAACTTATCAAACTAAGTGGTAACAATTATCCATTTGACTGATCACAATTATTCCTTCATCTCCCCCACCCCAATCAACCACCATTAGCACTACCTAAAACGTCGTTGTCACCTTAGATTACAACCTGTTGCTACCATTGCCTATACCAATTCCAATCCACCAACTCCACAACTCATCACCGTCGCCATCACCTGCAATGTAGCATCTCTTGTAATGCACCACCACCGCCACTATAACCACCACCACATTCACTACAAATCTACAACAAATTGTCGACTGTAGAATCGGACCATCATCTTTCTTAGTCAGAGTCAAACTAGAGGTTTTTATGGCATAATATCCAAGATAATGTGGGCTGATCGGGATAGCAAGTCAGCCGCTAATGAAGGCTGTAGTGGTGGTGGGGTTTTTGGGTTGCATGCTCGATGGTTTTTCCATGAATCACTTTTCTCTCATCAGCAACTGTATTCAATTTTCTTGCAACTAGAGAGAAAGTTAAGGTAGAGCAGGTGGATAGTGGGGTACGATGGTGAAGATGAGATCTATTGTCCAAATAGCTGTCCATCCAATGAATTATTGACGTGTTATCATTTTGATTGGTTAGTGTTGAAGTTAATGATGATAAATTTGAGATGATATATTAATTATTGATGATATGTGAAGTTAATGATGGTAAATTTGAGATGATATATTAATTATTGATGATATGTCAATAATTTATTGGATGGATAACTATTTAGATAGCAAAATTGAACAACAAATCTCATTTCACAATGAAATGCCGTGTTGTAACCCATGTGCAAATGTTTAAAAAGCGGGGATGGATGATTGTAGGGTGTGTATAATATGATTTAATTTAATAACTTGATTTTTAGGATTGACATTGAACGGGTCAAGAACAGGTCGGGGGTAAGTCGACCATTTATATCCCTCGCTCCATCAGGTATTTTTGTCATCCTACCTCGTCTCCATGCTCAGTTAAGGCAGGGCGAGACGAGGTCGATGTAGGACCCCTACCCCATTTTATCGCACCATTTATTTTTTATTTGTTTTATTTTTTGCTTTTTATTTTTTTATATCTTTAGTCGGTAGAAATTATTATTTTTTTCTATTTTATTAAGAACAACCCATATTCCCTTTAGAATGGATGATACATTTTTTTTTATTTAATTTTTTTTATTTGATAAAAAATTTAAATTTAAGAATTTTTTTTAAACTGGACAGGTAGTGGGGTTCGGACCATATTTTCCGTACTCGCTTCAAGGCAACGATACAATTCCACCCCGTCCTGTTTACTCGATTAGGTAAGTATCGGGTTTAATGAATTTTTTTTTTTTTGCATTCCCATTGATTTTTATTAGAAAAAAAATAATTTATACCTTTTTTTTATTTAATTTAAACGTAGTGATTAGTGTAATGTTCTCAATTTTTCCTTCTGTAAAACTATAGGCCCGGCACGGCCTTGGCCTCCTCCTTTTTCTTTTCTTCATTATTTTCTTAAAAATAAATTCATATGGGAGTTACCCGTAATTATAATAAATTGAGGGGCAGCTAAGGTAATATAAATCTCATCACAGTTCTAACCCTAGATATATACATATTTCGAGGCTCGCGTTTTGTTTTGTCTCTCTTTCACCTCTCCACCTCCGACTGCTACGGTTTTGTCAAACTTCAGAAACAACTAATCCCTATTGCTCGCATTACCCCAAAGCCATGGTTAGTATAGGAATTTCTGAATTTTATCATGTTTATTTTGTTTTCAGGATCTTGATTCACTATCAATCATATATTTTTGGACAATGGATTCTGTGTTAGTACTTTAGTGTTTACCATGATTTATATTTTATTAAATAGTCTTAGGATCACAAAATCATATTCATTGATAGAAAGCTTCAGAACGGAAGTCGATATTTGTAGCTCTTGTGGTCATTTGAATGTTATACCGTATTGGTACTGCGTTTAGCCAATTTATAATTTGAGATGAAAATACTAGATGATAATTTGAGATTTGTTTTATTGGTTTCTTCACGAAGTTGATTTGAACAAGAATGTTTATTCTGTTATTTCTACATATGACGATTAGAGAAAAAATTATGTCGCTTGGTTTTACTTGATTTCTTAATAAGCTAACATTGAGCCTAAATAAGTCAATAAGCTTACAGAAAACATGAATTTATTTTAGAAATGCGTGCTTTGATTTTATTTAAGTATCTTTTAGCTACTGTATGTTGAACCTAATGTATATCCCAATTCTTTATTATCTTTTTCTGGGTTTAATAGTCGAGGAGAAAGACCAGAGAGCCCAAGGAAGAGAATGTTACCCTTGGACCTGCTACCAGGGATGGAGAACTTGTTTTTGGCGTGGCCCACATCTTTGCCTCCTTTAACGACACCTTCATCGTGAGTAATGATTCTTGATTTGTGTGTTTGATGATCCTTTGAGAAGTTCAGAATGGAAAGTAATGGAACTTTGTAGCATGACCTAAGGACACATAATGCATTTTTTATGCAGCATGTGACTGATTTATCCGGAAGGGAAACAATGGTTCGCATTACTGGTATGTACTATTGTTTAAGATTTCAATTGCAGATTTTATTATAGCATCGATAATTAATCTGCACAATTTTTACTTCTTAATGTATGGCGCTGTTCTGTGTGGATTGGTGTTAGTTCAAGAGTAGAAATGGATTGTGAATGCTGATGTCTATTTGTGGGTGAATGTGCACTTGAACAATTATCAAGTTTTTGTCATTTTGGTTGATGGAAGTATTGTCTGCCTTTTATAATAGCTTATGAATTAGAGGAAATTTGCAGTTTTCAGGCAAGTACGGATGATTATAACTTCACTTGTTTATTAAGCCCTTGTTTGAGGCCCATTTTGGTAGGAAAAAAAAAATGCATTTTTGAATGGTATATTGATGGGAAATGTGTGGTTAAAAAATAAGGAAAAATTTTGGATTTGTGTGTAATATTATTTTATTGAAGAATGTGTGGTTGAAATAATGTTAAATTACTGTTTAAGAACGTATTTTTTCCAAATAATCTGAATCAAACAGGGCCCTAGTATCAATATCAAAAAGTGTCTCTCCCCGCACCCCCCAAAAAAATGGGGCTCAAACAAGGGCTAATTGTTTCCAACTTGGATATTTCATTTACTCTGTAGAAGAGGGAGTGCGCCATAGAAAATTATGCCCTGAAAGAAACTTAGTTAGGGCCTTGTGGGAGATTCTGTGCACGTAGGACTGTTTTCGATTTGCTGTAGATGAATAAAAATTAATGCTGTTTGGCATAATTAGTTTACTTGTCGTGAAGTTGATTTCTTGGGTACTTCTAATTTCTTTCTGTATTTTTCCAGTTCTGTTACTAAAGTGATTCTGTACTGCATGAGAACTTTGAAATCAGACCGAGTATGAGCTTTAGCATGCTTAAATTACTTTTGTAATATGCATTCAAACTTCTGAGTACAGGTGGTATGAAGGTGAAGGCTGATAGGGATGAATCTTCCCCTTATGCAGCTATGCTTGCAGCACAAGATGTCTCTCAAAGATGCAAGGTAAAAATCTGTCTACAAAAATTGATGCATTATGATGGAGGGTTGAATTTGTCCATTATGTCATCTAAGTCCTTTTGTTGTAGCATGTATATATCATCTTAGATTCTTAAAGAGTTGTCACCGGGTGATAGTATGAAATATTATCCTTTTGTGATTGATGGAATTTGCAGGAACTGGGCATTAATGCTCTTCATATTAAGCTTCGTGCAACTGGGGGGAACAAGACAAAGACCCCTGGACCTGGTGCCCAGTCAGCACTTAGAGCCCTTGCTCGTTCTGGAATGAAAATTGGTCGTATAGGTATTAAATCCCTTAAATTTATTGAGCTCTTAAATAACTAATTGGTGATATAATTTACGCTCACATCGTATTGACCTTTGTTTGAATCCAATATGTGCTAAGTCTGCCAATTTATTGTTAATGATAGGTTTTTTTGCACATTCAGTTGTGTAAATTAAATTCCTTGTTCGAATGAAATATGTGATGTACGCTGTTAACCTTGTCACACTTGAATTGACGTCCACGTCAAAATTTTTCTTCCTCATGATTTGAAATTCATTTTATAATTTTACTTTCAATAATTTTGTTAAAATGACTCAACTGTTTTTATTATCTACTCTAATTTCAGAGGACGTGACTCCAGTTCCCACTGACAGCACTCGAAGAAAGGGTGGCAGAAGGGGAAGAAGGCTGTGATTTGTTCTTGTTGGCAATTATACTTGCTAGTATTGGAGGGACTTCTCTAGTTGCACGTTTATTATTCTCATTTTGCGTATTTTGGAAGTATGTAGTTTGAACACAAGTTTTGTTGGCAAATTACGGGAATAGTTTACTGGATTACAAGCCAAATACAATATAACTTCTATTTATCTTCCGATATGTACTTTTTGATGGGGTTAATTATTCATTGTGATGTTATCTCAGTCGTATTTACATGTTTTGGTCAGTTCCTTGATAGTCACATTCCAACTAGTGAACTTCTTTAGTTCATGAAAAATCTTGTTCTGGTGTCCTTTGGAGGCAGCACTGGATAATTCTATCTGTTGCTATAAAATTCTATAGATAAAAGGATCCTTGCTCCAATTACCATTCTTCAAACTTTGTCTTGGTCCTACTGAATTTTGTGTGGAACATGTTTCAGGAAGCAATGTTTTATAACTACTAAATTTGAACTAGTTTATTAACTGTGTTTTCTAATTCTAGATCAAAATACATTCCCGATAGAAATTGCCGCTGTTCGACTTCATGTTGCTAGTTTCATTCACTTGCATTTGATTTTCATGGTTGGCAATTGTTTTGAACTTTGCCAATGGCTTTGAGTTGTCTAATTTTTGTCAATTTATGGAGCAAATTGTAATATTAGTGGGATTTTGCATGTAAAGGTAGGCACAATAATTTGGGATTTCACTTAGTTGATTTTATGATTTATACCCAACATGAGACCATATAAGCTAGGTTTGGCAAAATAATGTACAAAATCATGCTTGTAAAAGGCATTTTGGCTTATGGCTTGTCATTTTGTTCCATAGCTGAGTGGGGCCACGAACCAAGGTCTTGAGGCTAACTCAAAAGTACCATCAAACTATGTTCATCTTACATTGTCCATTGGACATAATTCTTACATCCTGCCAATGGACATTAGGTTAAAACTTACAGCTAACGAAGATGGGTAGATTATCATCCTGTATCCATAGGGCTGGCATTGATATTTTGGGGGGCCATATGCCAACTTTAACTATGGGGTCCTATTGAAGAAAAATCATCATATTTTTACACGAGCCTTACTATAAAAAAGTTTTAATATAATCATGAAGAATTTATTATGGACAATTAGACACCAAACTTTGAAGAAGAAAATAACAAAATGTTAAAATTCAACACGCAATACAAATTATAAGTAAAGTTTGGCATACAGAATTATAATGCAATGGCAAAGGGGCGTGTTCATTTTTTTGATCATTTTCTTACTGCAATTATTTGAAACAAAATTGAATGTACATTTGAGTAATTTACGTGCAGAATAAAAAATGTTGACTGCGAGATATTGTGTAATAAAATAATGAAAATGACGATCAAATACAAACGAGCTCCTCATCTTATATTAATTCATACTATATTAACTTAAAACTAAAAATTATGAACACTGACAAAGAATTATTATCATGAGATTAAAGAGACATTTTTGTTTGATTGATAAAAGAAAATGGATGTTTGGAAGATATTACTTAGAGTAATATTTGTGATATATTTATATGATAAATAAATGTAAGTGATAAGCTTTATGCCATTTATATGTTTTTCTTAAAATGTTTGAATTTTCAAATTTTATTAGTTTCTTGTTTTCGCGTATTGATAATTCTATATAGAGAATTTTATAAATATGATTTTTGTTTTTCTTTAACCAATTAACCTTGCATAATTTGGGGCTCTTATCAAAGTGGGACCTTAGGCGATCGCCCATCCCCTCTATAGTCAGGGCTGCCACTGCGTATCTAGTCTCGATCTCTTGCTCCCAATGAGATGTGCCACATTTGAAGTGTGAAGTTTTCATCATACTCTTTGGGAGCAGGAGATCAATTTCATACCCGAATATTAGCTGTTAATGCTAGTAGGCAAGTGGTAAATGAGTTTGTGTGTTGTATATCCTTCTCGACACAAGCAAAACCAATCGCTTGAAATCCACAATAACTTTCATTTATCTTCAGGAGAAATACATACCACAGCAGCAGGGGAAAGCAGAAGGAAACTTAGAACCAAAAAAAGGAGAATGAATAGGTAGAAAAGCTTAGGCAAACCAAACTACACAAATCCAGTCTCCTTTTCACAGTTTCAGCTTTTCTACTAGAGATTTACTGTCAAGTCCTTTACTGTAGAAGTTCTCTACGTACTCTTGCTTTGAGAATGTACGATACTGAGCTGGTTTCTCAGGTGAAATCAACTCCGGCAGTGGTCCGTAGTGATAGGATTCATCCCAATTGCCAACGTCAAACCAATGAACAATTGAAATCCGTGGTTCCTTGTGCGAATTAGCCTTAACACGATGCTGCACACTTTTGTACTCACCATTGGAGACAATCTGGAAAAGAAAACCCTTTTCACCATTTCTCTCGATATGTTCAGGATTTCGATAAATGGATTTCTTGACAAGAGAAATCAAGAAAAAAGATTAGATTACCTGGAGGAAGTCACCAATATTGATGATCAATCCACCTGGAAGAGGCTTTACATCTACCCACTTCTCCTCATGCTTCACCTGCAACCCTGGAACTTGATTAGGCAATAAAATTGTCATAACCCCAGGATCGGTATGATCCGAAAGTCCCACTGTCAAGTCGGGTTGAGGGCAATACGGGTAGAACATCCCTCCAAATATCCTAGTCTCCAAAAGGGAATATTCCTTAAGCTTTCTTGAATCCAATCCCAATCCTTCTGCTAATAACTCCCCCACAATGTCCCCCAACACGGCCGCGTTCTTATCCCATTCTACCTGTCCAAAGATTAAATTTAAATAAATAAACATGTCCTCGGCAATAGTTTAAGTGGTTCAACATTATATTGGATCAAGTCTTGTCTAAAAGTTGTGCGCACGGGTGTGTGTTGAAGATTTAATTCAAAACGAGACATTTGATGAAAAATGAATTTGACGAACTTTTAGACGGGATTGTTCAACATTACCAGCTCGTTGCGGTATATATCAGGTATCTGATCAATCGGTGGCGCTGCCGGTGCCATCCAGATAGAAACATAGTCATGCCATGTTGCAACCTCGGACTTGAACAAGTCATAGTTGCTAGAATAAGTTACACCACTTAGCCCTTGACGCGCATAATACTTTGCCTTCGACTCTTGAGGTTGGTCATGGAATGACTTAATAGCAGCAGTTATTTCATCAAGAACAGACAATGGTATACAATGGTTTATAACTTGGAAGAAACCCCAAGAATTTGCTGCTGCTCGAACTTGTTCAACAATTATAAGCCGATGATCAGCTGAGTTTATGTTAGAAAGATCGATTATGGGAATTCCCGAAGATGTGGATGTTGATTTAAGGTCGGAGATTTTTTCCTGTGGATGAATAAAGATACGAGGAATGGTTGTTATACCCGAATCTGATAGGCCTTTGACACCAATTTTGGCTTCATCGAATTCCTTCACTTCTTGGAGTCGATCATATGGTGGCGCAGCCGTGACAACCTCCATTTCCGCCGTCATCTAGTTTTGATGTTTTGTTAATTTTTCTTAGTTTCTTAGTACTGGCCTGTGCTCTTTATACACAATGGATCTGATAATAGCATTTCTCCAACGCAAGTTTTAGCATTATACTAAATTTTAAAACAATGTTGACAAACTCTATGTTGGTGCACCCAATGGACACAAACACTGGCACGTGAGTCGAAGCAATTCAATGTACGAGCGCATGTAATAAACATGTTGTATAGTTAAAATAGACGTACCTGATTTCAGATAAACTAAGGGCATGTTTGGCATGACTTTTGAAAAGTTAAAAGAAGATTTTGAGACTTAAAAGCTATTTTTGGACTCGTTTGACTAATTTTATGAAAGTACTTGTAATTATAAGTACTTTTAGAGGAAGTTGGTCCAATTTGTCTTACTTTGAAAGCACTTTCATAAAAGGAACCATTTCAAAAATTAGTCCTCAAATAAAAATTAAGGTGGCCATCTTCAAAAGCTCTTCTACAGAAAGTAAAAGTAAAAACAAATGTCATGCAAATCAAACATGTCCTAAACTTACTATAAATTACAATTCGGGTTCCATTAGGTTCCATTATGCACTAGTTGTAGATGCTAAGTGATTCCCAATTTGTTAGTATTATTGTTACATCAAACCTAGTGTAAGAACAAGAAAAAATTGCCCGGCAGGCATTATAGAAGTCAATCATATAATGGCAAAATCCTAAATGCGATTACTATTCTGACATTGACAATTAGTTTTATTTGTTGTTTTATTCAAAAATTAAAAGTAGTAGTAATAGTAAAGGACAAAGCAGAATATTGAGTTTTGCTTGGGGCTACAAAGGGGATCAAATCCCCGTCATTTTCTGCTCTTTGATTGGAAAACATAGATTTTAATATAATTAGATTGAATTTCATCACTAGATTGACTTTTTAAATTAAATATCATGTGATGAAGCATTTGTTGAAATAAAATACGGGGTACAAAAAGGAAAAAAATCCTGATTTTTCTCGGACTTGAAAAACTGAAGCCAATAAATCTCTTGTACCTTATCAAATTACGTTCTATAGGCTTTTCTCCGGTCATCGAATCACCTTAAGAGCTTCTTTACGGTGGCAATTGCCTCCAAGTTAAGGCTAGAGGATGAATAGCAAGAATTTAGCTAGGGTTTCTAATTTTACATGCTTTTCCAATTATAATTTTCTTAAATATTATATATATATCTCAATACTATGGGCTTTTTGGTCTTTATGCTTTCTGTGGACATGGTACATTTTATCATTGAAGGGTTCCTAAAAGTTTTTGAAAGTTGGTTCTATTCTCGACGTGATATTCACTCATTAGTTGGATTGTTTCTTTCACAAGAGTTTTTACAGACTCCCTATACGTTTTGCGCTCCCCTAATTGCCACATGATCAAAAGAATATTTGTTTGCTTCCTTTAAGGGGTCAATGTACATGAAAGTCTTCATAGCTTCGATTGATGCTTTGTTAGGTATAATAATCTTTCATGTAAATGGGTTCCTTCATAAAGATTTGGACAATAGTTTAACACAATCCAATCTCTTGTTTTAAGCAGAGATGAGTTCTACAAGTTTAAGGGTTTGACCCTATTAGACGAAGTATAGGGGAAAGTGATTTTATAGCTCGTCCTTCTGAAGCAATTCTAAAAAAGTTTAGACTATCTTTATTGGACAAAGTTGTTCGATCAGGGCCAACGGGGCCCCCC